GCATGAGGTTTTGGCAGGAGAGTATCTTTATGGCATCTAAGTAGGGAAGGATTTCTTAAATTTAAGACAAGAAAAAGAGCTAAACCATGAAAAGACTAATAAATTTGACTACAATATAATAAAGAACTTGCAGTCATTAAGACAAGCCACTAGCTGGAAGAAGATAGCTGCCATACTTAATTTACAAAAAAAAGCCCAATGAAAAGATGGGCAAAAAAATGGAAGCCTAGAAACAGGTGTTTCGTAGAAAAGAAAACAAAAAAATAGCCTGTAGAAATACGAAAAGATGCTCAACTTCATCTTTTATCAGAAAAAATATAAGTTAAACTAATAGTAATATGACATTTTGCAATAAAAACTTAAAAGTAAAAAAAAACCAAGTGTTGGTGAGGTTGGGGAACTTAGGGAACTCTCCAATGTTGCCGATGGTGGTATAACTGCTAAGAAATGCTCTGGAAAACAATTTTGTATAACCTAATAATGTGAAACATGTACAAACCCAACAGTCCAGCAATTCTGCTCCTCAGGACAGACCCTCAAAAAATTCTTGCACATGAACAATAGCAAAAACCTGGAAATGGCTCAAATGCCATCAACAATAAAATGGATAAATAATCCAGTACATAATATGCAGTATTAAAAATGACTGAATACACCTACCCATGTCAAATGGATGAATCTCAGAAACCTAGAATGGAGTCTAAAAAGCAATCACAGAAGAATGCAGAAGTGTTATTCTACATATATAAAGTTCACAAACATGCCAAACTAAACAATATGCATTTTAGGGTCCATAATGTCATAGATTGAATTGTGCTCCCCAAAAAAAGATAAACGTTGAAATCCTAACCCTTATACCCAGGGATGGATTACCCAATAAACAAGGTACACACGGGCTTACTTGTGCTTACTTACTAAACTGTAGTGCACAATTTCACCTGCTTTTCACCATATACATTTCTTTATCAAAAATGAGTGCCTTGCGAAATACATGGCACATGTATGGACATGACAGTATGGACACTAAATTCACAGACTCCAGGCATATTTGTCGAATAAATGAGTCAATAATTTCTAACATCGCATCATAACTACAGTCCACGTCCAACTTTAGTTGCTCCAGGAAAACTGTGGCTGCAGCTACTAGCACCTCCCAGCACACACATGAACATCCCAGCATTTAAAGCGGCAAATCAAAAAGTTCTTCCTTCAGTTTGGTCCAAACTTTTGGTATTTTCATGTTACAGATTTTCTCTCCCAAACGCTAATTTCTCTTTTATTCTTCCTTTTGCTGTCACAACGAGCACACACGCATTTTCGATGGAATTTTACCAAATAGCACGTCTTGCATTTTGTAAACCATATACATACAAACTCCCTTCTCTCCCCTATGCCAAGTTCTTCCTCAGTGCCCAATGCTTCGGCTGTGCTGATCCCTGACTCCTGACTCAAATACTCAGTCCTAAGGCCCCACCCATGGGGCAGGACATCCCTGGGCTTACAGGGAGGCTGAGGGGCAACTGAGGAAGAGATAGGCCTCATGCCAGGTTTTCCCAGCAACAAAGGGTCTTCTTGTATGACATCCACTTGAGTACTGACCATACCAGCCCAGACCATGCCAAATCCCGTCCAAGACACCTCTCCCTCCTTCTTGGCATCACCTCTGCAGCCACCAACATGGGGACAGGAGAGGGAAACCAGAGCCTGGCAATCCCCAGTTACATAAATAAATGGTACCGGGGTTGTCTGCATGGGCCTGAAAGTAAAAAAGAACCTCTCTGAGCCTCACTTGTCTCTTCTGCAAAATGTATCATTAGTCCCACCTCAGACAGTTGCTGGGTGGCTTTCCTGAAATAATATATGTAAAGACACTTGCAGATCAGCATCAAAACAGAGTTTCTCTGCTCTCAAACCACTGCTGTTTGACTCTGGGGGGAATAAGACAGTCTTTACACTCAATTTGCTTTTTAACTGGGCTCATCTATAGCTGATGCTGCAGTGAGTGGGGTAGGGGCGGGGCCTGAGGAGTTGTTCAGAAATTGAATGTCTTGGCCATATCAGAATGTAAACCCACTCAAGGCCCTCTGGACAGGCCACCATGAGGCAAGGTGAGGGAGCAACCACAGGCATCCCTCCCAGGATGGGACGTGGCTTCACCTGCTCGGGCTGGCCTAGCACAGGCATGCTGGCAAGGCACCAGAGGCCCCACCAGGCAAGCAGTGGAAGCTGGTAGTTAAAATTTCACAGAGAATTTGTTGGGGCAGAAGCCTGGCCTCACAGGTGGCCAAAGCTGGAGACCAAGGTCAGGGCAGGGAAAGGTAGGAGGTCCTACACAGAATCATGGAACTCAGGCCTCCAGAAAGCCTAAAGCCAAATGGGTCAGCACCCTGGACAGCACCGCAAGCCGCTGCCTCTGCTGCGCCCAGGAGCCAGCGCTGAGGGAGCAAGGCGCTTTCTATTGCTGAGAAGCCTTCCCAACACAGCGCTCGAGGCCGCCCCAGCCAACCCTGCCGTGGTCCACCAGATGAAAGCTGTTTGCCATCCTGGGTCTCCATGGAATTACTGATAAGGGGAAGCCTGATAGGGAACCAACTTCAACCCCACTGAAGGGAGCAAAGATGTCCAAGTCAGAAAAAAGAACACAGCTTTTAGCTTGAGTGGAGGTTCTCTGTGGGGGAAAGAGAGGAGAGGGGGTCGGGGGGGGGGGTCTCTACAGAATAAACCCTCTGTTTCCTAACCCACCTCCCCTACCTCAGAGGCCTCAGAGGTCAGACAGTGCCCCTGTCTTTCTCCCCATTTCTCCTGTGTCTTGTGTGAAAATGGTTTGAAAATCCCAAGTCCTCCAGATCAGCTTGTTCATTCTCACAGGGACTGTTTCTTGCGGGCCTTCTCGTGCCAGACACCGTGCTGGGTAGTGGAGACATGACAGTGACTCGCAACGGCCCTGCTTGCCTGGGGCTTACAGCCAAGTGTGGGTTCCAGGACTGACCAGAATCCGGCCCCCGTGAGCATAGCAGAGCACGCCTTAAGCAGGGCTCGGATGGGAGGAGACTTGTGTCCATGACAGCATACAACCAAGGACACAGATCTGTGCAGACAGCGGGGCCAGGGAAGCCTTCCTCAAGGACTTACTCATTCTGAGTGGACATGAGGGTATAATAAGGAGAAAGGAGAACACGAGGTTTGACCAAGTGCCATCAGGGAACATGTGATCTGCAAGAATCACAGAAGCCCGACAGGTGTGCAGGCTGGGGAGCTGGTCTGCCCTCCTAGAGGCTTGTGGTTCCACCAAGGCCCCCTCCCAGGTCCCAGGGAGAACCAAGGCTCACAGGTGGGTCTACAGGCCAGAGAAGAAGGGGTGCCTTGGCACCTGGAAGAAGTGGGGTGGGAGGGGCCTGCAGATACTGGAGCCCCCAGTACCCTCCAGCCCTGGCAGTGACCCTACCTCCCCCAGGCCCAGGCTCAGAGCAGCTGGACCCCTCCCACATCAGGACTTCAGAGTTGAGCCACCAGCCCAAAAGGTCCTCAGGGGAAGGTACACTGTGGGCATCTCCGGCCTGTCACGAGGTCCCCAACTCCTCCCCAGGGCAGGGACTGAGCTGGGCAGCGGGGGGCCCCAGGTCCTGGGCAGAGTCCCGTTCAAGTCCCTGGAGCCTCCAGCTGCCCTGGTCCTCGTCACCATCTCATCTTTATTTCAGCACGGTGCCTGTTTGCTCTTTCAATTCTTCCTGGGAGACTCCAAATGGCATATTTGCTCAAGAGCTGGGGACAACATTCTGGTCTTAGAGAAGCAGAGTATTTAGGCAAATGCAAACGTATGCTGGTTTCCTTTCTTAGTTACATTCTTGACAAAGGAATTATTTCACCAAGAGGTAAAATGAGACTTTCTAGGGCCCAACTCATTGCATCCTGGCCCCAGGCCTGGGGCTGCTGACCCTCACCAGTTCCCCGTGCTCTTTTAAAAACACATAATGCGGAGGCTGTGGCTGTGATAGGTGGCACAAGGGATCCTCGTGATGGAACTCATCTGTATCCTGACTGTGATGGTGGTAGTCCATGAGTCTACACACGTGACGTAACTGCACAGAGCTAAATACACACACATACACACACACACACGCGCGCGCGTGCATGTAAAACTGCTGGAATAGGAATAAGGCCTACGGACTATATCAATCTCAAATCTTCACTATGACACTGTCTTACAGTTATGCAAGATTTCACTGCTGGGAAATCTGGCAGAGGGTATAGAGGATCTCTCTGTATAATTTCTCAAAACTGCATGTGAACTTCAATTATCTCAATATAAAACTTTGTTAAAAAAACACACAAACACACACAATGTGGGAACCATTTTATCTCAGGACTAGGGCTGGTCTGGTTTTACAGAGCAGCCATATGGAAAGCTGAAGTTATTTCTCAAAAGCCCCATCTCTGGCTTCATAACCAGCCATTGTGATTCTTCATATGGGAGGTCTTCAAAGAGACCCAGTTCAGCCGTGCTCCACGTCCTAGCCACTCAGGAAAGCCACAGCCATCTCTAACCTCCATGTCCCTCCCCATGACCTTTGCCCTGGCCAGGGAGCCTGAAACCTAAGGCAGGTCAGGGCAGAGGGGGCAAGGAGACAGGAGCCTGCCACCATCAGCACACAGGGCAGTCTTCAGCGAGGAGGCCCCCGAGGGGCGTGTGCCCATGCAGGGTTCCAGGGGGGCCTGCTGGCCACTCCTCGGTGCCCGTGCACAGCCCTGCCAGTCCCCACCAGCAGTTTATTAAGATTTTATTGAAAACTCTAAGATGATTCAAACTTCAGCTGTCATGATAAGGTGGTGTTGCTAGGCAACCTTGGTGCCTGTCTGCCGATCTGTTTCCGTGTCTCTTCCCCACTTCACAAGGTTCAAGGCTGGGGCTTGCCACCCTGATGCCTACTTGGCTTAGGCGACCTGGCGCTCCTGCCCAGTCCCCCCGCTCGGCCCCCGCCAGCTGCCCCCTCCCCACTTACCATACTCGCTGTCATAGAACATGATGAACTTCTGCCAGTGCAGCTCCGTCACCAGCTTGAGCATGACGTCATTGAGGCGGACCGGTGGCCTCGAGGCCAGCGTGTAGGCCTCGCCATCAGGGCTGGGGTTCAGGTGGCAGGCGGTGCGGGGTGACCCCCTTGGGTTGCGCTGAACAAAGAGGTGTGGGATGTGCATGGCATCGGTGAGGGACTGCAGGGCGTTGGCGGATGCACAGCCAGTGGACGTGACCAAAGCCAAAATCCCCTGGGTCATGAGGTCACAGGCTGGAGAGAGAGGAGAGAAAGGGAGAGGTCAGCACCAGGGTGATGTTATGCTAGCTTCAACCCGCACAGCCCACGTCCATCATGGGCTACACCTACGGCCCTGGTGGGTGCTGTCTCACGGAGCACCTTTCATGAACCTGCCAGTTAAACATTCTTGGACCCATTTAACAGATGAGGAAAGACAGCCTCAGAGGAGTACAATCATTTTTCCAAAGCTACTCAAGGAGGCCATGCTAGAACAGAGATCCAACCTCCATTGGCCTGACACACTCAAATTGAGCTGTTCCATTAGCTGTCCTGTCTCTCGCCCCGGGGTGTGGGCCCTGAAGAGCAAAGAACTCACTTTGTCAATCCCTGCAGCCCCGTGGCCTAGCCACGTGCCAAGAATACGTTGTGCGCCCTACATTTGTTGGCTGAACACAACCTGCCTGGGATGGTAGGGGATGAATTATATACGAAAGCTAAGGAGATACTTATCCCTGAGGACCCAGGTTGTAGGCGGAAAAAAAAAAAAAAGACGCTAGGTCTTCTGCCCAAGTCCACTTGATTCGTATCATAAACACACAGGGTCTGACCCCAGATGTCGCAGTTGGTTCCAAAAGCCCAGGATTATTCAAAAACCACTTGACAATAACAAAAGGAGATGCTCCCTCGGCTACGGTGGTTACCGTGGGTGTGGAGGAGGGACACGGGAAGACCCCAGCAGCTGTTTCTAGGGTTGGTGCACTCAGGGGCTCCTCTTCTGAAGTCTTCCAGCAACAACAAGGGGCACCCCTTTAGCCACAAACTTAATGCCTTTTTGGGACATCGGACCAATGAATAGACCTATATCCCAACATGGCAACCCACTGCACCAGTTCTGAAGCATGGATTAATAATGCATGTGTGATGGCAGGAATGTGGGAAAGCAGATGCAGTTTCAAAACACAGCCTGTGAATGTCAGCGGGCCATCTGCTGCAGACAGCCAACTCCCGAGCAACAGCAGAGAGCCCATGGGTTCTCGACGAGGCTGGAGAGGAGACCAAGGACAGGGGAAGCGACCCCAAGGAGTAAGGCAGCGGGAGCCTGAAGGTGCAGGGCGAGAGGGAGGTGTCTCCATACTTTAGACACCAAGGCTAGCTGCTCCCCACAAGAGGTTTCTCCCCTGTGTGTTGGTGATCATCAACAGGACAAGAACTCAAAAGCCCAGCAGCTGTCCCTGCAGAACCCTCATCTCCAGGCCAGAGGCGAGGGTCGGGGGGAAACAGGAAGCAGGCGAGTCACTCTTGGGAGCTATCACACAGCCATACAAATGCGCTGCACCCCCATCCATGCTTCACACTGCTGAGTTCTCTCCTAAACAAAAATCTGCTTGTGTCACACCCTGGTGAAGATCCTTATGGCTCCAAACCACCTTGGGGAGACAGTCAAACTCCCTGGATCAGTCTTGTGGGCTCCCCGACGCCTGCAGCCTCACGCTCCTCACCATGCCTCTGCCTGGATCCTAAAGCCAACTGCACACCCTCCGGCCCCTCGAACCATCACATGTTCGGTTGCCTCTGGTGGCTACACACACACTCCTGCTTCAAGACTCAGACTCTTCACTCTTCTGGGCTGTTCCCTGAGCCTGGACAGCAATTCCCTACCCTCGCACCAACTATGCATTGCTGGGGTCGCTGTCTGGATCTCCTTCTAGACTTACACCACAAGGGCAAGAGCCATCGTTCCCCAGCACACGGTCTCAAGATTACCGCAGGCGCAACAGTTTCTTGCCCACTAATGAGGAACTCCACTTTGGACATCGATACAAACTGTGGGGGCAGCTTTAGATCTAAAAACACCCAGAAGATACTAATAGATACTCTTGAAACAGCACTAACCATCTAAAAGACACACAGGACAGGTGAGTGGTGATGTCAGGGGAGTGGTTAAAAGCACACACAATCTTTGCAACTATTTATGAACCTGCTCCAATAACATGGAAAAGGGCTCATAATAAAAAGTTATGGGAGGCAGGGCCAAGATGGCAGAGTACTCAGACGCTTCTGGTGGACCCTCTTACGATAAAGACCTGAAAAACAAGTGAATCAATTATATATGACAATCTAGGAGCCCTGAACATCTAAGGCAAAATTGAGGAACTTGACTGAGTGGCAGGGTGAGGGAGAGACAGTTTGGAAGCAGCAAGGAGTTGTCAGACCTGACCTAGCAAGAGCCTGAGCCCTTCAGGCCTGAGCAGCTCAGGTGTGAGCGGTAAGGCAGGCAAGCAGCAGTGCTCGGGAGGGGCTTTTTCCACACTGGGAGAGACCGAGCACCAGAGACTCTACAGGGTCACCCAGAACCAGTGAGAAGCAGCCCTAGATTGACAAAAGATAAATACTTGCGTACAGCCTACAGTGTGAATCAAAAACAACCCCCTTAGGGAAAAACCTCTCTCCCATTTACCTCCCCACTCCCTGCTCTGCACTGAGTCCCGGACCAGCTTCAGCAATTGCCGAGTCCCCTGGGCTGGAAGTAGAATCTGTCACATGTCCTGAGCCATTCTCCTGGCCTTGGAGAGTGAACAAATTTACAAACGGGAAAAAATAAACTGCCGGCTCCACTAAGCCAGGAACCCAGGGTAGACACAGCTCCTTTGCCTAGGCACAGGCATAAGGGATCCACAGACTTTGAGTGCCTTTCCCCCTGCAGAGGCGTAGGCCCTCATGACTGCAGTACAACAGGGTATATACCTGAACCCTAACTTCAACCGTTTCATCTGTGAAGTGGCAGTTCCCTGACATTTGACACTGCTCTGCCCATTAAGCACCTAATCACATCAGAGGCCTGAGGACTGGTGGCTCCACCCATACCACCCAGCCACCTGCGATAGGGGCCCATGAATAAGAGGTGCGCCCCAGTCCTTACAGCCAACAGCACTGGGTGCTCATAGTCGGGCTGCAAAACGCACCCACCCACACGCTCTAGGGAACAGGGACAGGCCCTCCTCCTAAACACTCGGGGGCATCCGTCAGCCCCCTGCCTTGCTCAGAATATGTCCCCCTGCTGCTGCCAGATGCCTGTGCCTACACCAATAACTCATGCCTGTCTAGGACTGTAGGTGAGAGCCTACACCACTCACTTGGTGGCTATCTACCTGGGCACCTGAGCTGAATCCATATAGGAGGAGTGGGTGGACTCCTAAGCTCACATACCTAATAACAGATCTAAACACATGGTGACAGGACATTAGAGCTTCAAAGATGCCAATAATCAAACTACCTCATACAAGCAGCCTATTTGGGCATACCAAAACAAAACAAGAAACTAGGACACAGGAAGCAAACATAAAATAAATAAATATAATAACTTATTGATGGCGTGGAGACAACAGTCAATATCAAATCACATAAAGAGACAATCCATGATGGCTTCAGTAAGCTCCCAAAATAAAGAATCTAGAAACTTTCCAGAGGAGGAGAATGTCCTGGGATTACTGGAGGTAGAATACGAAAGATTAATATACAAAACTCTTCCAGAAATTAGGAAGGAAATTGATCAAAACACAGAACACTATATAGAAGAAATTAAAAAGATTAGAGAAGAGCATAATGACAAATTTAACAGGCTGCAAGAATCCATAGGGAGACAGGAATCAGAAATCCAGAAGATTAACAAGAAAATTTCAGAATTAGACAACTCAATAGAAAGTCATGGGAGCAGAATTGAGGCAATGAAGTCACAATTAGTGAGATTGAAGATAAAGCACCTGAAACCAAATTATTTGAGGAAAAATCAGATAAAAGGATTAAAAAAAAAGAAAGAAACCCTAAGAATTACATGGGACTCTACCTACGAGTGACTGGAGTACCAGAATGGGGGTGAATAACAGACAATACAGAGAGAATTGTTGAAGATTTGTTGGCAGAAAACTTCCCTGATATCGTTAAAGATGACAAGATATCTATTCAAGATGCTCATCGAACCCCACATAAGGTAGATCCCAAAAGAAAATCACCAAGACATATTATAATCAAACTTGCCAAAACCAAACATAAAGAGAGACTTTTAAGAGCAGCTAGGGATAAACGAAAAGTCATCTACAAAGGAGAGTCCATAAGAACAAGCTCGGACGACTCGGCAGAAACCATTCAGGCAAGAAGGCAATGGGATGAAGGAAAAAAACTGCTAGCCAAGAATTATATATCCAGCAAAACTGTCTCTCAAATATGGTGGCGAAATTAGGGCATTTCCAGACAAACAGAATTTTAGGGAATTTGCAAAAACCAAACCAAAATTACAGGATATACTAAAGGGAGTCCTCCAGTTAGACAATCAGTCACATCAGATAACAACCCAAGACTAGAACGAAGGACAGAGCAACCAGATATCAAACCAGGTAGGGAAGTCGCAAAAATAAATCAAAGCTCAAACACTGAAAATAGGGAAACAGGTGTCAATATGTAAAAGATGACAATATTCAAACAAAAAAGAAGATTTAAAAAATGTAGACATAGATTTTGAATATGGAGAGGAAGTCAACACGATATAAAGAAATAAAAGACTGGTATAAAATTAGAAAAATAGGAGTAAATAGTAAGGTAACCGCAAAGGAAACTAACAATCCTGCAAGTCAAAATAAAAAAACTCGAAAAATATAAAGACTCAGCAAACACAAAATCAACAACAACAAAAAATATGAAAAGAAAATACATAAAGAAAAATGACTCGGCACAGAAAATTAAGTGGAACAAAGAAACTGTCAACAACACACAAAAAAAGACATCAAAATGACAGCACTAAACTCATACCTATCAATAATTACACTGAATGTAAATGGACTTAATGCACCAACAAAGAGACACAGACTGGCAGACTGGATAAAAAAACACGATCTGTCTTTATGCTGCCTACAAGAGACACACCTTAGACTTAAAGACACTAACAAACTAGAACTCCAAGGATGGAAAAAAATATATCAAGCAAACAACACTCAAAAAAGAGCAGGAGTGGCAATATTAATCTCTGACAAGACAGACTT